AGCCTTAACAAGAAGGAAGCCATATGGCCTGAAGTTTGAACCTCTGATACCACTTCCACCACATTCTGTGGCTTAAGGCAATTTAAGAAGTCTGCCCAGATACAAGGAGAAAGAACCCAGTCTCCCCTTCTTCTCGGTGGAAGAATTGCAATGTCCTTGGAGGAAAAGTGTGTGGAGCAGGGTCCGTAGATATGAGTGTGTCTGTGTTTGGAAACACGCTCTACTACTGGCTATCCTCCTAGCCCATGTTTCCCAAAGTGGGCAATACCACCCAGGGAGGGAGAATGCCCACACTTCTGGAATATGGGCTATAGTACAAAAGTTTTCATTACCGGGGGTAATTTTTTCTCCCTCAAAACAGGATCACAGGCCAGAGAGGCTTGGGAGCCTATGCTCTGAATAATACCAGTGATTTTTAAGACGTTTCTTACTATATTACACATTAAATGATATATGTATTCAATTCAATGTCAATTGAAAACCTAAGTAGATACACGCATGTGAATTACGAAGCAGCAGCACTGTGTTCCCCACACCTCCTTGGTGCTTTCCAGAGAAAGCTTAGCATTTGGTTGCTCCCATTTCACGGCAACTTGATCAGGTACAGACGCACCCCTGTTAGGAAAAGGGTGAGGTCAGAGGGTGCAGTATTTGCTTTGACCGAGACTACTGAACTCTGTGTTTGACAGCACAGTTTCTGAAGCATGAGCGAGAACTGGTAAATGCTCGCATGTGCTTCCTCGTCACCACGATGACTCACTGGAGATGGTGCTGAAATCATTTCCTTTTGTTTTGATTTGCTTGCTTCTCCTTTCAGCTTGAAGGTCTACTTATACTGCTCCCCCGTGACTAAGGAGTTGTTGTTAACTAACCCGAAATACAGATTTTGGGAGAAACGAATTGTAAGTTGTTTTTTGTATTTCTAAATGAATACTAATGATGTATATATTTTTTAATTGGGAATTTATCTTTTGAGAGACAGATGGATAAAAGCATTGTAATTCTTCAAATCTCAATTCTTTACTTCAATAAGAATATTGATATTTAGTCCTTTGTAATTCAGCCATTTGGGGAAAAAGGTGGACTTTTATTACGTTGTTGCTTTGTTTTTCTTGTTCCTGCAACAGTTTGGCTTAATATTTTAAAGTGTAAAATGTTTGCTAATACACTGGTAAGTCTTGCTATGTAGATCATGAGGTGGATTGTAGAAACAATACAAGATGTGTTCTGTCTCCTTAGTGAGCAAAAGAGATAATGATAATCCATGGGAAATAAAGCCAGTTCCTTAAGAACACATGAATATCCTGGATCTAACCTGAAGGAAGAAAAAATACATCATGAATAAGATGGATTCACTTTAGAAATGCAAGGATATTTTAAACCCTGGACCTTTATACTGTGTTTTATATTAGCTTACTAACACAGTGGGACATTACTTTCCTGTAGGAGCTCCGGTGGCCTAGTGGGCTCCACTCTAAACTCATTAGCCACTCCTTTGGAGAAAGATGAGGCTTTTGGGTCTCTTCATGGTTTACAGCCTCGGAAACCCACAGTTCTGCCCGGGCCTCTGGTTTTGCTGTGAGTCAGAATGGGCTCAATGGAGCGAGCTCGTCCTCATTCCTTACAGAGTGCCTCTGACAGGCTTGTTCTAGAGCAACACCAAGTTCATGACGGAGCCCTCGCAGTTGGAACTCACTCAGACTCACTGCTCTCGGGTTGGTTCTGGCTCAGAGACCCTACAGGACAGAGTAGAACTGCCCTGTGGGTTTCTGAGACTGTTCACTGTTTGCAGGAGTAGAAAGCTTCATCTTTCTTCCAAGGAGTACCTGGTAGCTTTGAACTCCCGGTGTTGCAGTTTATAGCCCAACATGTTACCCGGTAAACCACCTGGGCTCCAGTAGTTAGAACTCAGTGGTTTTCTTTTTTCATTTTAAGCTCTATTTATTTAATTTTATAATTTATTGTTAATTCATATATCATTCCATAGTTCAATCACGTCAAGCAGTATTGTACAAATGCTACCACAATCAGTTTCCAAACATTCGTTTTCTTCCTGGACTCCTTGACATTGTCCCTTTTACTCCACCCACCATCGTCCACCCCCTGCCCCCTGAAACCTTATACTGCTTGCTGCCCCTATAGGATCATCAATCCTGAGTGTTCCGTGCTGAAAAACATACCAACATACGGCACAACTTCACGAGTGTGACCCCAATGAGATAACACCTCTGAGATAAACCCTAACATGAACACACCAAACCAAAGCGAACATACAGCAAGTGTCGAAAACCAGCCTCAGGGGGGAATCAACTGACACGGTTTCCACTGTTCAACTCAGAACAGGTGTTTTTATGTAGCAGCATGGGCTGGTCCGAACTCTCTTCTGTGGCATGAAAACTAACTACATACCTCACTACGTAATTTAGAAACGCAAACCCAAGGGGAAAGGGGAATGGAAATTCACACAGGACAATGGAGAGGGGAAAAGTGAGTTTAGGAAATTGAATTAGTGTGTCAAAGGATGTATAAATTTATAAGACTTTTGATACATGTTGCCAAACTAGCATTCAGGAAGTCTTATTTAGCTTGATAAGTTTCTCAAGCTATTCAAATGTCTTATCACAGTGAAACTAGAAATTATTAATAATAGTAGAAAAATTAGGAAAAAAGTCTGTAAAATTTTCTCTTTATCCCCTTTCTGTGTTCGGGATGCGAAAGCATATAAAGCCATAAAAATTAGAATTTTTTATGGTGTATACGTGCTCTACTTAATTTATTTAAATTTTTTTCATGCTCTCTTATTTTAATAGATAGCACTTGAAGTTGAAACTCCTACCCAGGTACCTTTAATCGATGAAGCATCGGGCGAGGTAAGTACATTTATAAACATTTTTTGTGCTTTTTAAAGTATTTCATGTTAAAGTCATTATCTTCCTCCGTGATTTGAATGCTCATTTAACCAGAGTATAAAGTGACAGCAGTTACGTTTTCAGAACAACAACAAAAATTGTGGTGTATTTATTTCTTGAATCCAAAGACTGGCTACGACTCATATACAATAGTTTCTTTTTATTGCTGTGTGCTAACGACTAGAACTCCCTTTCACGTCCTTGTCATTTCATTCCGTGTGTTACGGTGTTAAGATTCACAATGATGCTGGTTAATGTTTGTAGCAACTTATGTGTATTGTGCTTGTTCTCTGGTTCATTTCCTTATTCAGAAACACACAAAAGGCTCTGCCCAGGTAGATATGTATTTATACTTTCATTCTTAAACTTAAATTAGGGACTTTTGTTTTGTCCATGTATTCTTCCAAACTAGGACCATTTTTCACCGCGAACTGCATGGAGGGTCAGTGGGTGTTTCCCTGTGTGTTCGGTGTTCGTATGTGCTGGCATTTGTCCGGTACCCTGATTATATGCCATGTCGTGCTGCTGTCCTTAGCCCTGGCGGGTGTCCATTTGCTATGTGAGGGATTGGAGCACAGTCCTGACGCTGTGGGCCTTCCGTCTTTGGAGAAGCTCAAGCATCTGAAGTATTCCTCTCATCAAGTCATTGTCTGAAGGAGGACAGTAAAAAACACACACAAAGCAAAAAGACAATGATAAAAATAAATAAAATAAAACAAAAAGGCTGTCTTGTCATTGACAGCACCATGGTGAAAGGCTTTCTCCCAGCGGGGCAGCTGGGAACAGGGGTGTGCCGATTGCTCAGCGTCACGCTGTCCCCCTCAGATGTCAGGTGCTGCTTGTGTTTGTGGTTGATGGGCCCTGCGTGGGCAGCCCCAGCCAACGGCAGATCCCGTTTTGAAGGGGCCTTCCGAAGGGTAATAAATACTAGAATGCAGAGAGGGTCAGCCAGTGACTCAGTAGGAAGCTGGTTTGTAGAGACCTCCACCCCCACATCACATTCTGAGCAGTGGCGATCGTGTTGCCCTGAGGCGCTGCCCTAAGAATGCCTTGTGGGGAGTTAGGACAGTTAGAATTTTCGGATGAGACTACATCCTGTTTCCTCCCATCCCCAACCTTTCACAATTAAACATTCATTTCTGAAGATGGAATTTGCATATCATCTGATTCACTCACATAAAGCATGCCATTCAGAGGCTTTGAGTATGCTCACAGAATTGTGTGTCCATGTTGTGGTCAGAGCATTTTAGAACATTTTCAAGCAGAAATCCTGCATCCTCAGCCGTCACCCCCACTCCAGCTCCCTCACTAACTGGCCCCGGTGCGAGGCAATCCCCAGTCTGCTGTCTCTCTCTGTGCGCTTGTCCATTCTGGCCATATCCTATCACTGGAACCCTGCAATGTGTACTGTGTGACCAGTTTTGGTCACTTGCCTCATGGTTTGATCGGTAGTGCCGTACACATCAATACTTCATTCCCATTTCTGGATCAAATAATAAATACTAAATAAAATATCATTAATAATAAAAAAAAATCTTCTTGAAAAGACATAATGACTGCAGGTCTTGAGGCATAGCTACCTAAGAATGGAATTGCTGGGTCCAATGGTCACTGTTGGTGTCAGGGTTACACATTGGGCTTCTAACTGCAAGTTCAGCAGTTTAAAACCACCCTCTGCTCCTCAGAAGAAATGGGGCTTTCTACTCCCAGAAACACTGGCCGTCTCAGCAACTCCTGGGCAGTGGTACCCTGTCCGACAGGATCGCTGTGAGTTGGCGTCCACTCGATGGCAGTGTTGTTGTTTTGTTCTTATAGTCGTCACTGTTGAACTCTTGAGGGAGCGGTGGGTGATGCCCTTTGTTTCCACACCTTGGAGAAAAGTTATCCACCATTCGTTGCGAGTACTTGAAAGTCCTTCTGTTCTGTTCAGCAGGGCTGTATTTCTTTAGGTCCTGATGTGAACTTTAGGAATCCTCAGGGTTCACATGCTCAGCTACTAACTGAAAGACTGGAAATTTGGGTCTACTCAGAAACACCTGACATCTGGTGATGTGCTGAAAAATCAGCCATTGAACAGCCCCAGGGAGCACAGGTCTATTTTTTTTTTTTTTTTGCACAGGTCTATTTTGACACGCGCCGGGTCACCAGGGCACCTGCTTTTATAACTCCCCCCTCTCCCCTTTATTTTCGTTCCAGAAGGAAGAGATTGTTGTGACTCTGTTACCAGCTGGTCATTGTCCAGGATCAGTTATGTAAGAGGACTCATCTATTTTGCTATTGTATTGTCTGTAGCTAGTTATCATATTTGTAGACATAAAGATTTCAGGTCTAGAAAATAATAAATGTATTTAGGGACATTTAGGAGCCCTGGTGGCATAGTGGGTTACTCATTGGGCTGCTAACTGTAAGGTCAGCAGTTCGAAACCACCAGCAGCTCCTTGGGAGAAAGACGGTGCTTTCTACTCTGGTAGAGGGTTACAGTCTCAGAACCGGTAAGAGCATGTCCACCCTGTCCTGCGGGGCCACTAGGAATTGGCATCGGCTCCATGACAGAGAGTTTAGTTCTTTGGAGAGGGACATTTGGTTATTTTTCTAGCAATTTCCTTAATAATGAGGGGGCGCTAAAAAGTGTATGGATTGAAAGATAGTGGGATTTCCCCAGGAACTGTTTGAAGTCCCCTCCTATTGGTTGACATTGTAGACGGAAGTGACGATCCGAATGGAAGCGGGGCCTCCTGGTGGAATTCCCCTGCCATTGTTCCTCCAGCACTCTGCATCTTCCTGGCCCGTGGCCTTTCCTCGGCAGTTCTTGAAATTCATGAACGCTAGTGACCGGGTGTGTTTGGCAGGAAAGCATTGCTGTGGGTTTAGCCGGCGCTTGCTTCTCTAAGATGGGCTGTGAGACTTGGAAGTCACGGAGCGCTGCTTCCTTTGCAGGTTTTTATTTCAGGGCAATAATGGCACTGTCCTCTACACTGGAGACTTCAGACTGGCGAAAGGAGAAGCTGCGAGAATGGAGCTTCTGCACTCTGGGGGCAGGTACTGAGCCTCGCAGAGTTCTTACGTGTAAGGCTGCATGTGGTTATTGCTGGCAGGTGCCCTCTCGTCAGTCCCGACTCACGGTGCCCTTCTGTACAACAGAACGAAACACTGCCCAGCCGTGCCCTCCTCTCAGTTCTTCGCCTGTTTGAACCCACCGACACAGCGCCCGCGGCAATCTGCCTTGCCAGAGCTCTTCTTCTTTTTTGCTGCCCCGCTACTCTACCAAGCACGATGTCCTTCATGGACACTGCATAGTTTAACATTTAAAATTTTTATTTTCTCCCCCATACGAGCTTTTTATTCCTATTAGAAATCACAGTTGATTACGTTAGTCCTTAGTCCGTTTGTGAGTTGCTCCAAACCATACGGACGCCGATCACTCTCTCTGGAGGATTTCGTTTCTGTAGGAGGACACTGTGGGAGAGCACATGCAGGGCGTCCGAACAGTCTGCCCGAGCTGTGTGGACACGCTCAGGGTGGGATGCGCTGGAAGAGACTGGGGAGGCAGATCACCCACGAGGAAGATTGCGGAACTGAGAACTTGACATCAGCTTTGCAGAACAACTCAGAGACCCCAAAGGAGGGAAGAGGGAAGTGACAGATGAGGACTCGATTTATTTCTGAAAAAGAAAGAAATGATGAAGAATGAGAGAAGTTAGGAGAACAAGTTTTTGTTTTGCAGTAAAGAGATTAGATGGAGTCTTTCTTTAAACTAAACCAGAGACTTCAGTTGCTTAGACATCTGACCCAAGTCCTCCAGGGGATATGCAGACAGTGGGGGAGGTGGGGGTGGCGGGGTGGGGGGGTGCATTGAGATGTTACTGCAGAAATGTATGAAGAAAAACCAAAAAGGACCGTGCCGACAACTCTGGGCAATTGTCTGACTAGAAGTACCCTGAGAATAATCCAGATGGCGCAGAACCCCCACAAGCAGAGTTATTACCATAACTGACGATATTCTTCGTGATCAGAGAAAAGGCTTATGATTTTAAAAAATGTGTCTATTAAAATATGTCCTAACATTTATACGTTAGGTTTTCAACAACCAAAGACCAAGAGTGGATTTGTAAAGCTCCTGATAATAAGAGACAGTACTAATGAAAACTGAAGAAATAAAAAACACGCGGTCTCGGATCTACCAGCAGTGCTGACTGACAGTCGGACCGTGGGCGTGGGGCACTCTTGTAGTTGAGATGAGCTGGACCACAGTCGTCACACTGAAGCAAAATTTTTCTCCTGAAATGAGGTCACGAAAAGGTCTTCTATGTTGATTGGAGTTACACTTCTATAAATTTTTCAAGATCCACCAAACCACGTATATAAAATAAAGATATAAACCAAAACATCACAGCCATTAAGTCAAGTCGATTCTGGCTTGTAGGGCCCCACTCGATTTCGGAAAGGGCACCTCCTTATGGCAGCACATCGCCTCATCTTTCTTTCAAAGAGAAACTGGTAGGTTTGAACTGCTGACTTTACAGTTAGCAGCCTAATGCCTCACCGTTACATAGTGCTGCCCAAAGACAAACCCAACACTGAACCCATTGCCATCGAGTTGATTCTTCAAGACAGTAGAACTGCTCCTTGGGGCTTCCAAGGCTGTAAAGATTTATGTGAATAGCCTCATCTTTTTTCCTTGGAGCAGCTGGTGGGCTTTGAACTGCTGACTTTGTAGTTAGTAGCCCATAGCATAGCCTGTTAAGCCACTAGGGCCATCAGAGCTCCTTAAATTTCTGTAAATATGCAAATAGCAGAACATTTGCTAGTTCAGCGTTTTTCATGTGCGTAATTCAATGACAGCAATGAGGTCAAACATGCTGGGTAGCCATCACCAAACCTGTGGCCAAACCGCCCATCACAGTCAACAGAAACTCAGGGCTTCTTCCTAAACCACGATGCTCACCTTCCCTGTCGCAACCACCTGCTCTCTCGACACTTACATTTTATTCTGTCATTTCAACTAAGTTGATTTAACCAAAAACAACAGCAACAACAACAAATAGAACACCTGTAAAAGAATTGGCATTTAAAATGTATTCATATTTTATGTTACGTCAGAGGATTAATACCAATTCTGTTTTGTTTTCAGAGTAAAAGATATCCAGAGCGTATATATAGATACTACTTTCTTTGACCCCAAATATTATCAAATTCCAAGTCGGGTAAGTCTGCCTGCAGGAAGTAGGTGATTGCCTGGGCAGGCCCATATTTCTAACAGGGCCTTTTGTGGGCTAACACGTAGTCAGATCTTAATTGTCCCCGTGTGTGTTTTCACCTGTGAATACTGAGGGTGGGAAGTGTGAGTGGTGCTCTTAAAATTACTAACCGCCTTTTGAAACCCCTGTTCAGGAGGAGTGTTTAAATGGGATCCTGGAGCTGGTTCGAAGCTGGATCACTCGAAGTCCTTACCATGTGGTGTGGCTCAACTGCAAAGCAGCGTATGGCTATGAATATTTATTCACCAACCTTAGTGAGCAGTTTGGGGTCCAGGTACAGTGATTATTCTTTTTACTGTTGCTCCCCTTTCCACCCTGCCACCTTGAGCTCCCTGCAGCCCACCCCCAGAAGCAGCCAAATAAAGACCAGTTATACCTGGGATGGCTGCTTTTAGGTGTTTCAGTCCCAGACACTACGAGACAGAGCAGAAGTACCTCACACAGGATGAAGTCAGGTAACTAGGATGCCCCTTGAAATAATGACCCGAAACCTCCATCCCAAGAAACTGAGTTCCACAAGGTGTCTAGCTGTACATAAGCAGCCTCGGTAGCTGCTCTTTTTGTTGTTGTGCAAATAATATCGATCACATAATTTTTTCATGAACTGCTTTTTTACGAGTGCATATCTGATTGACAATAATTTTATCAGTGGGCTTTACAACACCCTTAATTAATACAGGTTTTCCATCACTGCTGCAAAAATGATATGAAGGCCGCATCTGGCCTCCTCTGGCCTCACTAGGGGGAAAGGGAATCCAGCTCTTCCCTAGCCCGAGGCTGATTCCTGTGGGTCAGAGGTCAGACATGCCTCCACCCTTCAACTTTCTCTGCCATATTCTGACACCAACCTGTCCTCCTAAACCAGTCAACTTCTCAGAGGGGTTTAATAATCCGCTGCAATATCACCAAACTGAGCGTGCAGGCAATATTCACGATTATGTGTTTATTAGGGAAGTGTGCAGGCTTGCTTTGCTCATTGCCCATACCCAATATTTAAAGATGGACATACAGGACGTGTGCCCATTGGAAGGAAAGGCAAACCTGTTGTCATGAGGTTGATTCTGACTCACGGTGACTGTGTACAACAGAGTAGAGCTGTTCCCCAGGGTTCCCAAGGCTGCCTTCTTTATAGCGATTGAGTGCTCCCCCAGTAGCTAATAGGTGGGAAGTTCGAACCCACTAGCCTCTCTAGGAAAAGGGTGAGGCAGCCTGCTTCTGCAAAGGCTTGCAGCCTCGGGAATCCTCCGGAGGCAGATCTGCTCTGTTCTGTGGGATCACTGTGAGCTGCAGTTGACTCCACGTCCGTAGTTGGTTGGTTGGATTTTACTTTTTATGGAAGCAGACGGCCACATCCTTCTCTTGTGAAGCGGCTAGTGAGTTGGATCCACTGACCTCTCAGCTCGCTGCGGAGCACTGGCCAAGTGGACAGCAGGGCTCCTGGCAGGTGTACTGCTGGCGTGCATTGAATGGCTCCTGAAGCAGCGCCGTACAGCGATAGCCTGGTCCATTGAAACCCACAAACCAAGCCTTTGATTTTTTATCAGCACCAGCAGTAGGTGCTAAACTGCACTGGCTGGCAGAAGGCCTTCCCAGCTACTTGGAGGAAAGCCCTTTGTCATGCCGGCATCTGGGCGGAATAGGCATATATACTGAGATAGCCAAAGCTAGGTTTCGCATGTGAATGAGTTAGTTCATTACATGGATGATCGGCCCCTTAGTGATGTCCCTTAGTGTCCCTGATGAATCTCACAGTTTGCCTGTCCATATTCTGTCTAGGTTCATGTGGACAAACTGGACATGTTTAGAAACATGCCAGACATCCTCCATCATCTCACAACAGATCGCAACACTCAGATCCATGCCTGTCGCCATCCCAAGGTGCGTATGTGGGAGCGCGGTTCTTAGCGTTTGTGGGACCCAGGAAAGAACAGACTTGTCCGTCTAGCAGGGACCTCAGGAATGGCATTTCCTCGGCTTCTCAATTTACAAATGAAAAACTCAGGCTGAGGGTCATGCGACAGCCCAGCCTAGGATTCTGTTACAAGAAGCTTTGTGCATGTACTGATAGCTTTTTCCACGAAATATGTTCATATTCCTTTCAAAGTGCATATTTATTTGTATGCATTAAGAAACGCAACGTTATAACTTATAATTTAAGGGACCGTCTTTGCAAGCCGTGGCTATTTATTTTTCATACTCATGACACATTAATGTTTGTAGAATTGTTTTTCTTCTGGTCATTGGAGATAAATTCCAAGTATAACTCAGTCTCATACCCTGACGTCGTTACATGTATCCATGTTTGAAGGCGGTAGTTAAAGCACTTGGCTACTAAGTGCAAGGTTGACAGTTTGAACCCGCCTGGTGGCCTGTTCTTGTACAGATGACAGCCTCTAACACGCTCAGGGCGGGTCTACGTGGGCACAGGGGTTGCGGAGTCAGAATGCACTCCAGCGCACGCAAGGGCAACAGTGCTGACGCAGTGTCATGCGAATGTTTTCGATATCTGTGCAACTCATTTGTACTTTATTATTAAACATCAGGTATATAGCTTCTAACTCGAATCTGCCTTTAAATGTAAAACATTGAGTGATCTTCAAATACTATTGTATGAGTGGTTATACATTTCCTTTCTCTTTTATCTTAGCATTCCAGCATCTATACAGCTGTACCACCATTGTATTAATT